AAATACAAATGAGACACTAGGATAGTAACTACTATTCTATAGAAACAATGAAAATGGCTATAAAACGAGGACACTTTGACACTTCAGGATCAACCCGAAACAGAAAATGAGGTAGGGCAAGGAGGGTGCATCACAGGTCATAGGCGGACATAAACAGATGAGTTTTAAGGGACTTTTTGAAAATGGACGAGGTTTCACTATGACGTATATGGAAGGGGAGCTGGTTCCAGAACGTGGGCCCATGGAAGCAGAAGGAGCGTTCACCGATAGTCTTAGTTTTAGTTCTTGGGATTGAGAGGGTTCTACTGTCATATAATAATATTATATTGCTACAATTAAAAATATATTTATTGAAGAATCTTAAATCATTGGTAATAAACTTAGTGTGAAAATAGAGTCAGTAGACCACTTCAGGCCAGGATGTTTAAGAAAATACTAAATAAATCAATGTAACAAAGGTAAATGTTTATACTTTATTTTATTTTATTAAGTTTTAAAAATTAATTATTTTTTTAAATTAAATTTCAAATTTCGATTCAATTTCAAACTTATGTAAGTAATGTAATTACCAGTCTATTTCAATAAGTAGTATAGTATAGTCAAATAATTTTACTATTAGTTAGCCTGTTTAATTACAATAAATTACATATGTTAATGTCATTTGACTTATTGATTATTGTACTTTTCTTTGAAATTATGAAGTCTAATACTAATAGACTAGAGGGGGTACTACTACTAAGTCAGTACTAAATACTATTTAATAATCACTCTAAAAATATATAATAAAACATGATTAACATTCTTTTAATTTTTTTTTTTAATTATTGATTTTGATAATATTTTTTGTGCTGTTTTGTAGATATTTCTAATTCAACGTATTCTAAGACGACCAAGACGTACCAAGTTTGGTAAATTTTGGGTTAACCATATGATGATCATGGTTCGAGACTAGTCTAGTTAAGTGCTAGTAGTGGTAGTAGTAGGAAGGTAATTTAATAATAAAAAAAAAACAAAAAAAAAACAAAAACAAGCAAGTGCAAGGAAAGACACAACAAATGCAAGTAATCTAAGACAGTTATTGACAACTTTCTTACAAAGTACCAAGTTTGGTAAATTTTGGGTTAACCATATGATGATCATGGTTCGAGACTAGTCTAGTTAAGTGCTAGTAGTGGAAGAAGTAGGAAGGTAATTTAATAATAAAAAAAAAACAAAAAAAAAACAAAAACAAGCAAGTGCAAGGAAAGACACAACAAATGCAAGTAATCTAAGACAGTTATTGACAACTTTCTTACAAATTATTTATTCTATAGGCCTATGAGTATGAGTATAAGAATAAACCTAAAAAAAAACAACATAAAAGACCCATTTACTTTTCATTTTCAGCTCCACTTTTCCCAAGAATGCGCCACGCGAATAACATAGTTTGACCCCGATGTTGTGTTACTAAAAATAACAGTCCATCATGGTGGAAGCCATAATATAGAAAAAAAAAAAAAAACACGACCATTTTCATTTGACGTGTCTACGGATACTACTACTGCTAGAAGCTTTAAAAAAGAAGGGGATTCAGTTGAGTATGTGTCGCTAGAAAATGCTCAAGTCCAAATTTTATTTACAAGAAATAAAAGGTTAATTATATTTATAAATAGACCAAGCACGCCAAAAGTTTAGTTAAAATACAAATAAATTATGTTAATTAACAGAACCAATACAGACACATTTTACTCACCGGAAATCGAATGTGCTTGAAATTCCAAAGAATCTTGTTAAGAAGTCGTTACTTTACGTGAAAAGTATCATGCAATCGACTTTCTACCATACATATTTGAATGATAATAATTTAGGGCATCATAGACTTCCTAAATGGGAAAACTAATAAATTAATAAATTATGTTAATTATGAAATCGTCATAAATAAATATTAGATTGTCCCTCCTACTTCAGCAACGCCCCAAAACGACACATCAAAGCATTCCAGATTTTGAGAAACACGAAAGTAGGTCAAACATATAATTATACGAATTATCTTTAAATATCAATTCAAAACAAAATAAGTATAGTAAAATATTAAGATACATTTTTTCTTTTTTAAAAATATATTGATAAACATTTACCTATTAATTTCTTAACATAAAATAAATGAGCAACGATTCTTGCTGCCAAATCTGAGAGTTTTGATCAATAATTAAATCGAGGCTGGAGGTTTCGCAGGGTTTCTAAAAATAACAGGGATCATGTGACCAAATAACATGGCGGAAGCTTTGGAAAAGACAACTGAGTCAACTGTAAGGAACTAGTGGAATAATTTCATAATTTATGAAATCATTTTCAGTTTTTCCGTGGATTGTATCAGTAGATAAAATTAAAATGTGATATGTAGGAAATTGAAGTACTATTTCTACACATGAATTGAAAAAGCTTTGGATTATAAACCTATATAATATATTTTATAATTTTTCATAAATTTGAAATAAATAAGTAAATAATATAGAATATAGAGTATAGAGTTTTAGTTTTAGAGTAGATAGTATATCAATTATATGTTTATTGATAGTATACTTAAGTATAGTATAGTAATTTAAGTTAAAGTAATTCACTGATTCAGTAATTGTACCACAGTGGCTGAGTCTAAGACTATGAGTGACAGATATCTCAGCTGTTACTGTTATTATTTGGCATTATTTAATTTATTTGCTAACTTATCTTGTTCATCTTGTTTAACTATTAAATATTTACTTAAGACTTAACTTACTACTACTAATCATAATGTCATAATCGCAGTCATCAGTGCTAACTCAGAACTGCAGTGCTAGCTAAGATAGATTATATTCTTGGACTAACTTGATAAGATTTTGTCTTTTCAGTTAGCTATGGAAACAATTCACGGTGTAGAAGAAGATGATGATGAAGATGAAGAAGAATCTGATTCAGAAGATTCGGAAGAGGTAATACTAATACTAATATAATGGATAAGCAAATAATATTAAGATTTCTGACATGAGGCAAGAAGACTTGTAATAAGTAGGACCACTGTATGATCCGGGAAGTGCAGAACACCCCATGTCATGATTTCATTGTCTTAGGTTGCATCATTGCCTAATGCCACACTTCAGATGCTCCCTCTGTGTTGAAAATCATCATGACAATTGGGTCAAAATGATAGTATCTGCATTTAGGCCTTTACAATTTATTCTTCAAATAATTATCAACATTAGCTAATCAAATTATAATGAATTTAAGTAATCTATGACCCAACAATTTTTTTTTTTAGGAAATTGAACCAAAGCTTAAATATACCAGATTAGCAAATGATGTGTCCAATATTTTAAGTAAGGATGCTGCTAGCTGCATAGCTATTCATACAAAGGTAATTGTGATCATTTTGTAATATAAAAAAAATATGTATTTTTATAATTGAATTAATATTATAAATTGTTTTTGTAGTGGGTTTGGTCTAACTTTAAAGATTTAAAAGTTTTAATTAAAAAGCTATTCATTTTCATTACAGTACCTTACAGGAGATTTGATCTTGTACTATGCAACCTAATTTTTATATGTTTTTAAATAAGCTATGATTAATAGTGTCATACAAAATTAAATTTTGCAATGTTGAGCAAGCTTTGCACCAACCATAGCTAATGAAACTTTTAAATGCCTCTATTTATGAAGAAAATTTGCAATATTAAGCAGATACTCATACATAAAATATATGGTATAATGGGAAATCTTTGTTTAAGTTTAATTCAATAATTGGAGATATAATTTTTTTTTATATTATTAATGTAACAAATGTTATGTGTAATTCATTTTTTTATCTTTTATAATGCTGTTACTAGTTTCTAGCACTAGGAACTCACTGGGGCACAATCCATATTCTTGACCACATTGGCAACAACATCAGAGAAAAAGAAATTTTGGCAGTAAGTTGTCAGATAATATATATGTACATAAATGCAATTCATTCTTGTAAAATGAGTCACCTACATACTGTTAAGCATTCCTATCATTCAAGCTTATAGCTATATTTTCCAATCTTCAGCATTCAACAACAGTCAACCAGATCAGCATAGATGACAATGGGGACTTTATGGCTAGTTGCTCTGATGATGGAAGGGTGAGTTTTTTAAATAATTACTATTACCTATAGGGCTCACTCCCACTTAAAAACAAATTCAAAGTAAAAAATACCATTTAATCTTTATGAACAAAATTTTTAATAATGGATCCAAAAATTATTTTAAAAAAACTAAAATTAATTGCTAAATTAATAATTTTTGTTATGAATCATATTTAGTAATTTTGGAAAAAATTTGCACTGGAAATTATTTAAATAAACCAAAGTATAATTTTAAAATAAAAAAATAACTGAAGTGTTTTTGTGTAGTTTATTTTTGCAAACTTACAAACATGGTAAGTTTCTCTCAATGTTTTTTTTCTTAAAGGTAATAATTACAGGCTTGTATGACGAGAGCAATCAAACTGTGACTTTTGACAGACCTATAAAAGCAATTGCCCTTGACCCACTTTATTTCAAGCCCAGTAGTGGGAAACAATATGTTACGGGCGATGACAAGGTTTGCTTGACTTAAAATTTTTTGTATCTACATATTTTATTTCTTAAAATTAAAAAATTATTAAAAGTTTCAATTGGAGCAAGTTTGTAAGTTAATTATATGTTCTGGTTGGTCAGATGACTATTCAAAATGAAGGGTTTTATCTTCACTATAAATAGTCTTTGAATCTATTAAAATTGTCTGCTTTATTTGAAGGAACTGCTCCTCTTTCAAAAGCTTTTGGTTTACAATTAAAGTAAATGTCATAAAAGTTATCTTATGTTTAGCTTCTTAAAGGAGTGGAACAAATCAAAAGTCAAGTAAATATGGTACTGATATGCTAACACACACTCATAAATACCAATAATTAACAAAAAAAATGAATTTGCATATATACTGTATTTATATCTTTTGTAAAATATTTTTTTCTAGCTCATTTTAAATGAGAAAAGTACCTTTTTTGGTCGTCATAAAATGACTGTTCTTCACCAAGGTGAAGGTCCTATTCGCAATATTAAATGGGCTGGAGATTACATTGCTTGGGCCAATAATAGTGTAAGTATAAGATAACATTAGATGAGCCAATAAGACTGTAAATAAGATTTGGTCTATCACAGTGTAATTACAATTTATGTTTTTAAAAGCATAATTATGGTCACACATATTATCCCATACTTAATTGGGAAATCTGTTAAAGATTACATAAATTTATGCAGAATTTTTAAATGTTGTTATTGCTAATTTAAGGGAATTATAATAGTGAGTATGCTGTATTCTTGCAATGACATAATTTTTTTTTTAAAATTTCTGTAGGGTGTTAAAGTATATGATGTGGTTTCCAAAGTCAAAATCACTAAAATAGACAAAGATCATGAGTGAGTTTTATACCTATTTTAAAATGTTTCAAGCGATACATAGAAAAATATAATTAATTTCTTAGATAAAAATTCGATCAATAAAATAAACTTAGTTGAGCTCTACTGCAGTCGCCTGGAATTATTACCATTTTTATTTTAAACTATTACTTTCAACAGCATGCGGCCAGACTTATGTATCTGTCAGCTTGTATGGCGTGATGAAAAAACATTGCTGATAGGTTGGGGTAATAAAGTAAAGGTAATTTAAAAAATGCTGTCATTTAATCCTCTTTGTTGTGTAATAGTTAGAGTCTATGTTCAAAATGAGTAAATAACAAATAACTACAATTGCATTTGAATTGAAAGCTCAAATTTATTTTATTGTCCCTGTTTATTTTCCCCCCCTTCATTTAAAAAAAATTAATTACCAGAAAACTATGTTAAGAGGAAAAAACACTCTGCTGATACCATTTACTGTTTAAAGTTTAAAAAACAACTTTTCTTCTATTCTTTCTAAAATAGTATAAATCCACCTTGCTTACAATTTCAAAAGATAAAATTAAATATTTAAGTCCAAAGCCAAAACTTTTCTTTTATGTGACACTTTTTTTCTTTATTGCATTTACATGATTGAAATAATATCAACAGACAGCTACTCAAATTAACAGCAAAATTTTCTTAAAATTACAGATTTGTGTTGTAAAAGAGCAAAACAAGACTGATGTTAAAGAAAATGTGCCATTGAAATATGTTGAAATAAGTAAATATCTTTCATTATCGTTAGTAACGCTTTGCAAAAGATGTTTAGCTAAAATGTATAGGAGTTGTTGACATAACGAAATATGTTGTTTAATGCTTTAAAAATGTATTTATTTGATATTAATTAATTATTTACGATATATTTATTTAGATCTTAAAAAGTCTTTAAATAATAGCCACTATCTTTTATTTTCTCAGCTGCCATGTTCACCACTGACTTCATTATTTGTGGAATTGCTCCTCTAGCAACTAATGTTGTGGTGCTATCCTATGAAAAAAATGCTGAAAATTCAGAAGTAATTTTCTTTATTTAAATCCTCATGTTATATGATTACATAGACAAATTTGCATAGACAACTTACAATAAAGTATTAACATAACTTACTTATCACATTTTAATAGGGGAAACAATTAAAACATATTTAAAAAGTTGATAACATACTATCTTTAAACCATACTTCCTATGTAACATCTAATACACATGATCTAAATATGAAAGCGAGAATACCATCCAAAACGCTGAATACTGACAAATAACTAAATTCATAATTTTAATTAATATTACAATATTATTGATTTAATATTTTAAATATTTCATTATATTCTTAAAAACTTTGGGCACATTATAGTTAATATGTGTATTAGACCTAACATATTTATGGGTTTTTTGTAATAAAAGGGAGAGGTGAGATGGGAACGCTTGCTTTTTTTTTTGTTGTTGTTTCTGAAGTCATTAAATGAAATTTGGTATTTGTTGTTGAACAATTTATTTTGAGAACATTTAGATTCAAAATTGTTAAAGCTAGAGATTGAATGCCTATGAAGGTTTTTTTTTTTCCCCTTTAAGGCCTGTGTAGCTTAAGTGTTCAATTTAGATCAAATCACATCCACTTTTTATTGTTTTTTGAGCTGTGGGATATAATTTTTTTTCTTCTTCTGCTTTACATTATTAGGAGTAAATAAAGAAGAAAAATCCCTTTGATTTTAAATAAAACTTGATTATCAAGAAAAGAGAGGATTACACAAACAAAATCATTAAGGCTGCTATATGTGTTCTTCGTAAACAACGTATGTGGAAGCTTGAATCCAAGGACAGGACAATAAGTGTCTTTTCATTCAAGCTTACACATTCCTTGTTCTAAAATTTCCTTCACACAGCTTGAACACAATCCTTCATTTATTATTATATATGTACTTCTGGGCTTGGCATAAGATTTACACATTTCTTTCATCATTAGGCAGGGCGTGTAAATGCAGGGAGACCTCACCTTCTTATACTAGATCCCCACATGAATCACTATGATGAAATTTCAAATGATGCACTTTCAATCAGAGGGTTCCAAGAGTACAGATGCAACGACTATCATCTGGGTGAGATATTTTTATGAATTAAAAAAGAACAATTATAAACTGGTATAGCTTCATATTTTTTGTGGATGAAGTTTACTTAAGTTTCAGCATACATTTTACCATCTTGTGTATTTGATGTGAAGATAAATTATTTATTGACAGAATACCTGGCTGATGACAACCAATTCTTCATCGTTAGCCCTAAAGATATTGTTGTCGCAAAAATAAGAGATCAGGATGATCACATTACATGGCTGATGGAACATGAAAAATTTGAGGTAATTAATAACATTTTTTAAAAAGTGAATCAAAATATCACACCCACATGCTCAAGTACAATTGAAAACTTCACTTTATCAGTCATATTTGTACTAAAATTCTATTTTAGTTGGAACAAAAAAGAATTGATTAAAAGCTCAGTTATCATTATTTTTTAATCAATGTTGAAGGGCACAGTGCCTGCTGGTATTTTAATAGTTTATGTCATGCATTAGAAATTTTCTACTAAATGCAGAATACCGTATTTTAAATACTATAAGACGCACCTTTTTCTTCAAAAAATTGCCTTCAAAATTCAGGTGCGTCTTATACTCGAAATTAATATAAAAATGGTAAAAAATTTAAAAAAAAAAAAATTGCTTAAAAATTAAGGGGCGTCTTATAGTCCGTAGAGCTTATAGTCCGTAAAATACGGTATATTCTGGACACTTCTGACCTTTCATTAAAGTTGTTTTTGCTATTTTGATATGTTTAGAGTTAGATTCTGGTTTCATATTTTCTCATTTCTGTTAATTAGATTTTTAAATTTTGATTTTGATAATTATTTCTATACAGGAGGCCATGGCTGCAGCATCAGAACATAGCAAAGAACTTAAGACACACTCTTATTTTGTATGTAATCTCTAATGGGACTTATTTACTAGCAAAGATTAATGTCTAAAGCAGTCCATTTTGGCTAGACTTATGCAAAATTTGCCGAACCTAGCAAATCTTAGCTATAAAAGAATTAAGTAGGAGACACTTTTTGTAATGGTTCTAAAAATTAAAACAATTAAAAATATCTAAGGACTATAAAAGGTTCCATTTTTAAAAACATGAAATGTCCCTTTCTTTTAAAGAAATTTATGAGGAAATATATCTAGCAATATTTTTAAGTTCCCTAATAGTTTTTTTTTTTTTTTTTTAAAATATATATATTTTTAGAGATCAATGTAATGCTTTGTAATGAGTTAATTGCTTTATGCTATAATAATTTTTACATATACTTTTCTATATAAAAAGGACTATAAAAGGTTCCATTTTTAAAAACATGAAATGTCCCTTTCTTTTAAAGAAATTTATGAGGAAATATATCTAGCAATATTTTTAAGTTCCCTAATAGTTTTTTTTTTTTTTTTTAAAATATATATATTTTTAGAGAGCAATGTAATGCTTTGTAATGGGTTAATTGCTTTATGCTATAATAATTTTTACATATACTTTTCTATATAACATTCCTTACATTTTTACTTATAATAAAGGCCATTGGTAGAGCTTATCTTGACTACCTACTGGAAGAAGAGGCCTATGATGAAGCTGGCAGGCTTTGTGTGAAGATTCTTGGCAAAAGAAAAGAATCATGGGAAGAAGAAATTTACAAATTTGCAAAAATTCAACAATTGAAGTTAAGTATACTCTTATTGATTCCTATTTACACATATTTATTGGTTATGAAATAAATTTCTCAATATACTATTTTAATAGCAATATTGATTTTAATACTTGAATTAATATGTGCAAGTAGGGAATAAAAGGCTACATATTCAACACATTCTTGAAGATTAATTGGTTTTATCCTATCAACCTGATTGCATATTTTGTGATTTAAAATTTAAACCATGATCATTTTAATCCATTCTATTATATTAATTGTTCTTTTGACTATTTCAGGCTATTGCAACCTACATTCCAAGGTCAGATCCAAGACTGAGTTCTACAATATATGAAATGGTGTTAAATGAGTTCCTGTCTACTGACCATGAAGTTAGTATATAAAATAACGAGTAGTGCTTTGTGGGACTTCATATTTAAAGGCTTTAAGAACTAGTCAAATGGAATTTGGTTCTAAGATTTTACAAATGAGTTTTAGATGGAACATATTTCACCCGAAAGAACTAACTTATTCCTTCTTTCACAACAGAGATTCTTTCAACTCATTAAAGAGTGGCCATCAGACTTGTATGACAATGACTCCATCATAAATGCCATACTTGGACGCCTGGACAGAGAGAAACATTCAGAACTTCTTCTAAATAGCTTGGGCCAACTGTGGGTTTTAAAAAGCTTACTTTTGTTGTAAAAGAAATGCAGTAAATAATTAACAATCCAAGTGAAAAGGAATGTTTTAATACATTTTTAAAAAAAATGTTGTGATATTAATTTAATGAATAAATAAACATTCAAAATTATGAAAAGGCTGTGCTTAATAAAGTGTTTTTTTTTCTTTTTGTATGTGTTTACAGTTATGTTCACCAAAAAGCATTTGACAAAGCTCTGGGAATATATCTAAGGTAGATTATAGTCTGTTGTCCTTTAGAAATTAGGATTTAAAATATTTTTAACAAACCTAAAATCTTTTTGAATATAAGTTAATTTAATTTAACTTAATGAATTCTTTATATGACAAACACAATTTTTGTTAAATGATGGGAATTATTTAGTTAATATATTCATACATTTTAAATTATATTTACTTACTTCTTTACAACTGCTAATTCACAACAAATTATGTTTTTGATTTATTAATAACTGATTTATTTATAAACTTATAAGAGATCAAATTCCTTACTACTTCTAATTCATAACACTTGAATATGTGTGTTAGGAACATTTGTGTTAGGAACATTTGTGTTAGGAACATTTGTGTTAGGAACATTTGTGTTAGGAACATTTGTGTTAGCAATCATCATATTTTTGCAAATGTAAACTTTTTTACAGATTAAAACACAAAGATGTTTTCACACTGATCCACAACCATAACTTGTATGACAATATAAGTGATAAAATTATCCAGCTAATGGACCTAGACCAAGAGAGGGCTGTCAAAATGCTTCTTGATAACAGTGAAACAATTTCAGTATGTATACCTATGTTTTAAATGCAACAAAAAAGCACAATCCTGATATTTCATAAGACTCCTAATTAAAGTATTTTAAGAATATTATATATTCAGAAAAATGCGTTTCTAGACAAATTAGTTTGAAGAATTATTGAGATCGTTTTTGAAAGCAAATGCTTATGTTAAATTTTAAATGGAAATTCCTACAAAGCTTCCCTGATTTTACTCTCAAGATCTGACATTCCTAAATGTTATTACAATACATTGTGTCATGCATTTCTTATAACTTGAAAATTACAGGTAGAAAAAGTATTGCAACAATTGAACAAATCGCAGAGCTATCTCCATGTGGTAAGAACTAGTTATACATTAACGAATTTAGTTTGCTGCAAATAATTTTATTTTAAACTGAAATGACATAAAGTAACAATCTTTATTATGAAGCCTGTTGCATTGCTGGCAGAATCTATTATATACATTTCATTTGAGCAATGTCTTTCTCTTTATTTGACGATTCTTTGTTCATTTGTGTTAACCTAGAGTTTTTTGTCGTCTTTGTTGGACAGATAACCAACTTTTAACACCTTTTTGTTCTTTTTAAAAATTTTCATTCAGTACCTTGATCAACTAGTACAGAAAGATTTACAGGGCACACAGAAATATCATGGCCAACTGGTCAAGCTGTATGCTGAATATGACAGAACAAAGCTTTTGCCATTTCTTCGTAGAAGTGAATTTTACCCACTACAATTAGCTTTGGAGGAATGTGAAGCAAGAGACTATGTCAAAGAGCAAGTTTTCCTTTTGGGTATGGGAGTAATTACCAGCTACTGATTTTTCTATACATTTAATTTACAATTAGAGAGGACAAAAATTATTTTAACATTAATGCAATAACAATTGGTAACATGACTCTTACTTCTGTAAAGTTTTTTTTTGCTCTGAATGGTTGCACCTAACAATAGGGAGAATTTTATGTTTAAATGAGTTGTAACTGCCTTTGCAGAGGTCTATTGGAAAAAATGATTTAATTTTCACTAAGCAGTAACATTAGTTCTTCAAATACTTTCTAAAGTTTTCAAAACACACAATTTAAATATCTAATTTAAATCAGTTTAAAACACTTTCTAAAACTGTTATAATTTTCAGGTCGAATGGGCAATTTAACAGAAGCTCTCAAGTTGATTACAGAGAGACTGCAAGATGTAAATCATGCTATTCAGTTTTGTATGGAGCAGGCTGATGAGGAATTGTGGAAGAATCTAATAGAATATGCAATGGGAAACCCAAGTATGTACAACAATTTATAAGACAAGCTTATCAGTTTTAATATTTATATAAAATTCTGGTTTAACTGGGTAATGTGAGAAATTTGTTCAAGATGTTTTAATGTCAATTCACATACAATTGAATTTTTGACGGAACTGTTTCATTTCTGTGTCCAGAGTTTATCACAGCTCTTCTACAGAATGTTGGTGCCCATATTGACCCCATTAAAGTCATCAGTAGGATACAAATTGGAATGGAGATTCCAGGCTTGAGAGATTCCCTTGTCAAAATCCTACAAGATTATAACCTTCAGGTAGATGCCAATAAATTGAAAGCAGGCAATAATTTTTCGTTATGCTACAAAAACAGAAAACTAAAATTTTTGCTTATGAAATATATCTGATCAACACCACCGTTGAATGTATGTCACTTGATAAGTTTTCAAACGACATATTCAAGTGGCATTTAATAAGTTTTGAAAAGGTATTGAACAGCATGATGACTTCCCTATATTTTATTACAGCTGTCGTTACGGGATGGTTGTAGGAAGATATTGGTTGCTGACAGTTTCAAACTCCTTGAGAGGATGGTGAAAACTAGGAAACGAGGAGTATTTGTTGATGGTAAGCTTATGTTCTAATTGATATTTTAATGTTGTGATAATTAATAAGTGCTTAATTTTTTTTTGCAGTACAACACTTCTAAGTATAATCCCTATTGCAGTTCTATTTTAATTTCTATTCATCACCATGTATTCCATAACAGGATTAATTTGTTTTAAAAGTATGTTTTGGATGGGTCTAATTCAGTAGCAGAAATGAGTTCTTAAATTTGTGTGGAGATGTATTAAATTAATTTTTCCAAAAGCATTTCAGCTATTTCTAGCTATGTTATGGTTGTTATATTAACATATTTTGTTTGTTGAAGGAGTTTTTTTGTGTGCTATTCTTCTTATTGCCCTACATACAAAGACATTGCAACTTTTTACACAAAAACAAATAAAATTACTGTAAGCCATTTTGAGAAAGAGACACTAAATTTTAAAAAACTAAGCTGGAAATCGACCATTACAAATCCCCATAGAAAGAAGACAAAACTTACTTATTTTTAAAAAAAAAATACTTTAGGAGTACTAACCAATTAAGTTATGTCTGTTTATAAAACAGTTGCCAATATCAACATAATGTAAATTGTCTTCATTAAAATAGCTAATTAAAATGTCATTCTAATACTATTCAGAAAGTCAGCTTTGTCCAGTGTGCAATCAGAGGTTGACTGTCAATGGTAAGTTGTTAAACATGTGCTAAATGTATTTATTTGTGTGCTGTGCCCAGTTAATCCTTGAATCATTACATTTTTCATTCTTCTGTTTTCATATTTTTTTTCTGACAAAGTGGCTTTGGTTTTCTTTTCCTAATTAGATAAACATTTGAAAAAAATATTTTTCACTGTTTCTTATCTAAAACTGTCTGCATTTAATTTTTATTTACTGTTAAATTATTATTTTATTTTTTCTGTTTGAAATTGCTCTTAGTCTTACAATTTAGCAATTTTAGATGGCACATAGTCTTCTTTGCATAAAAAAAGTATCTTTTCAGATTTACGATTTGCCAGTAATCTAAATGTGTTTCACTGCCGTCACGCCTTTCATGAAGATTGTTTGCCAGCACGTGCTGTAAGTCTTGGGTTATAAGGAACTTAATGCTCTATAAATAAGTATTAATAACCAATGCAGGCAACCAAAAGTATGGCAAGTGCAACTCTCAGTGGTCATATTTCAGAATACAATTATTTCACATTGAATGCCATTGGCAATAAGATTAAATAAAAAAAAAAAAAAAAATTGAAAGAAATGCACAAAATATTACTTTGAAATTTTTGTATAATAAAAATATTTAACCTTGTCAGAATGCAAAATGGGATTGTAATTTAGGCATAAAAAAGGAACTTAATGCTCTATAAAAAAGTATTAATAACAAATGCAGGAAACAAAAAGTATGGCAAGGGCAACTCTCAGTGGTCATATTTCAAAATACAATTATTTCACATTGAATGCCATTGGCAATAAGATTAAATAAAAAAAAAAAAAAAAATTGAAAGAAATGCACAGAATATTGCTTTGTACTTTTTGTCTGATAGAAATATTTAACCTTGGCAGAATGCAAAGTGGGATTGTAATTTAGGCATAAAAAAGTTCATCCCTTGTTATCATATTATATGTGAACAATGCTAAATAAAATGTAAGTACACCACATTTAGTGTCATTTGATTTTTATATAGTGTCATTTGATTTGATACAGTGTCATAAAACATATATTATCTATTTCAGACACATTTTATTATTTTTAACTCCATTTATAGATAATCTATAAATACACCTCATTTAGTTTGTTTTGGTTTTATATAGTGTCATAATGATACAAATTAATTATCTATTTCAGACAAATTGCATTATTTGTAACTCTATCAAAAAGGATAGACGTCCAGGAACAAGAGAGCACTATCTAAAGTAATGTATACACAAATGCCAAGTTTTGAAGGATAAATGTCTGTTCATTTATCTTAACATTTAAAAATGTGATATTCGTAAAATATTTAACATTATCATCTGGTACTTATGTTGTTTTTCTTTAAATAGGTTTATAAAAAATATATCGGCATGACAGAGATAGATTTGTTTCCTTTCAGGCGTTAACCTATACATAATCATACAATTTTTTTACTTTTAGATGTTTATCTACAAATCATATGTCTAGTCAAATATTAAGTTTGGTCTCTGGAACCATGGTAAATTGTTTATATAAGACATTTTGATTCTTGTCATTTTTGTAGTCTTGAGAGGGATGGCTAAGTAGTATAAAAAATAAATATCAAAACTGAATGTTCATTCATATGTTCATTTTCCTGTGACAAAGTCATTTTTCTTTGACATTTTTGTTTGGTTAAGTTCTGTACACTCATTAAAAAAATTCATTTAAACCATTGTTCTATTCCCTTAAATTTCATTAATGAGCATTATTTTTATGTTTTTGCTTTTAAATTGTTAATGAAATTCTACCCTTGTCAATAGAAACTGAACAAACTCACAAAATATAATGCCTGATCTTATACTTAAGGATTACATGTTATTTGCCATTGTGCTCATAGACTTAATCTGAGAGATAGTTGTTCAATAAAATTTAATTAAACTACTTTGGTTTTTTAATTTAAATTTTGTAACCTTCATGTTAAATCTTATCTTTGTATTAGCTTTTTTTTTGAAAAAAAAAGTTATCAACCAGCCAATTTTAGTCTCATACCTGCCAACCTGTGTGACCTGTAAAAATTAAATAATCCCCAAAAACCTGTACACAATAAGTTTTTAAAAAGTTGATGCTGTAATTCTTTTAAAGTTTCTCAAAAATATAATTCACCAATGATTCACACAAAAGGTACTAGTCTAACAGCCATATCTTATGTTTAGACTGTGCTTCATTGATAGCATATCAATCCAAATAGTCACTTAATTAATAGGATTAATAGGAATTAACTTCCATTTTGACCAAGAAAACCTGTACAACATTGTGTATGGCCATATAAATTGGAAAATATAAAACTTGTAACATGGGTCAGATTTCATAGAAATGAAGGAAATCAATTGCCAAAAAGTTTGATAATAGTATGATTTTATTGATGTTTAAAAAAAAACAACAATGAACTTTTTATATTTTGACTTCCTGGTTTTCAAAACCATTAATAACGTTATTAAGTTTATATAAAAAAAACCAGCACGCATGATGTTCCTCTTGACTGTATTTAAAAGAAATAATTCTGTAATTAGAATTATTCTACAATCAGGAAAAATTCACTTGGAATGTTCTGAAGCGTTTTTAACATTACAGGATCATTAACTTGTCTTAGTTTACTATAATATATTAAAAATAATTTGTAAGAGACACTATGCATGTCATGTAAAAAAAAGCAAAATAGGGGCTTTACCAACATTGGTGTTACCCAATGGACATAACCGGTAAATAGGCCCTTATGCAATAAGTTACAGCTATTAACCTAAAACTCTGTATGTGGTCTCAAAGGAAACATAACCTGATGATGATTATGATTAGGAAGTACATTACTCATTAAAGCATTATTACATGAATGTTCTAAAATTAAAATACATTTAAAAAAAACTTTTGATATTTCTATTTTTTAAAAATCTAGATCATGGAGGGTTAACAAAAATATGTTTTAAAGATGTTTCATTACACAGTGTCATATTTCTTTAACACACTTAAGGAATAAAAGGTGAAACTCTTAGGGGCCGTCCATAAAGTACGTCTCGCTATTTTTGACCATTTTTAACATTCTCCGTTGACATATTTTCTTTGTCTGAATGTTTCTTCTTCT